GTCCTTTTGAGGTAAATAGGCTGGTGGGGAGAGATAAGTACCGGGAGCCTTGGTAGGTGTCTTCTGTAGTCCAGTCACACTTGATAGCAGACATGCAGAAACAGTTATAGAGGGTGTACAACTCAGTGCTGTCCCAACTACTCCAGTATCTGTGTGTGGCTGGACAGGAAGTGGAAGGGATCACTTCCCATCAGCCCACTAGTTACCTCCAGCACAGGAAGTTCCTTTTTAAGAGCAGGGGGAGGCACTGAGTGATGCACACTGTAAATCATAGGACAGCACTGAGTGGTGCACACTGTGTAACCACTCCTGCAGCTTAATGTCATCAATCATAACAGACTGGCTGGTGTACAGAAGATATAAAATAAATACTTTGCAAGTAAACCTTCAAACTACAGCACTCAAAGTCTAAACCTGAAAATAGAAATGTTCCTATTATTACCTTGATTCTAGTATTATTATTATTATCATATGTATAGCACAAACATATTCCGCAGCACTTTAAAAATGGGGATATTTGACAAGTAATTTACATACGGAATATACTAGTGACAATAGGTGAGGGAGGCCCTGCTCAAACAAGCTTAGTATCAATGAGGGAGGGGTATAGACACACAAAGAAATAGCAGCATGTTATGTGGCTAGGTATTGATGGATAAGATGCCTGTGTTGAAATAAGCCGCTAAATGTGGTGTGTGGAATAATCAAACATTGGCAAGCGAGAGATTAAACTGGGCTATGAAGGCAAGGGTAGTGATGACGGCCGTGAAATGAGAGAAATGCCCCAGGAAGTTGGTAAGCTTTCCTGAAGAGGTGTGTTTTCAGTGACCTTTGAAAGGACTGGAGGGTAGGGAAAAGTCTGATTGCACAAGGTAGGGAATTCCAAAGGAATAGGGCAGCCCTTGATATATCCTGCAGGTGAGCGTTGGTATTGTGGGAACAACCTGATGTCAGGAGAAGGTAATTTGCCGAGCGATGGGAATGTGAAGGGTTGTATTTGTTGAGTAAAGAGGAAATGTAGTAAGGAGTGGAGTTAGTGAGGGCTTTGTAGGTTAATAGCAGTTTGAATTGGATCCTGAAGGCTACAGGAAGCCAATGTAATGATTGTCATAGGGGTGAGGTGGGGGAGTAGCAGTCAGTGAGGAAGATGATCCTGGCGGCAGCAATCATTATAGACTGAAGAGGGGTAAAGCTGATGAGTAGTGGGTTGCAATAGTCAAGCTGAGAAATAATGAACGCACAAACAAGTTCCCATGTTTAACTCCTCTCAAAAATGAAACTCCTCATGCTGAATAACCCTGTCAATAATCCTAAACATCCTTTATACTACAATGCCCTTGCAGTCTAACTGTTTAGTTCTCTGACATTTATGATTTACATCACCTTGTTTATACCTCCCCTCCATGTGACCTACACAGTCTCTCTACACACTTCCTGTAAAGATAGATCTAATGTTTAAATTTATTTGATTGCACAGCCTGTTCAATCTAGAATGTCTGATCTTCTGCTCTGTTAATAGCCTGATAGAGCCTACAGGAGCCACCTGTGCATGATTAAAGTTCAATCTATAGAGCAGGCGATACAAACGTCTAAAGTAAACACACTGTACTGATTGAAAGTAAAACCATTCTTTCATTCAGGCTGTGTGAGTCACAGCCAGGGGATGTGTGGCTATGGCAGCATAAACAGAAACAAAAGAGATTAATCTCCTAAATGGCAGAGACCTGAGCAGTGAGAGTGCAGGAGCATGATCTATCTACATTATAACTGCTTTATTAAGATTAAGTTGTTTTGGTGCTGAGAGTGGCCCTTTAATAAAGCTGTCCAATATGACATAATGTATTTGTTTACATCATTCTTTACTACAGAATAATCAGTGAGGGAGTAGGAGAGAAAGAGGTCTACTTGTCCCATTACACCAGGTCATCAGACAAAGGAGAAACATCTGTGCCGTTTGCTATTAAGCCACTTGCAACTGTTTCTGTGGCCATTACAACTGCTGGTGACAGTTAATGGCACTTTGAAGAGTGTGAGACTCTCTTCAGGCAACCGATGGATCATGTAGAAACAGACTAATCTCAGAAATAAAACGAGAACCACTGGTTAGCATAATAAAAAACACACAGGGGTTCTATTCCCACAACTTGTCTTTTGACGGCGCTCATAAGTGCTTAATCATAGGTTATTGTTACCTGCAAATCAGGTCTAACAAGTTTTATGTAGGACATATTATAAAACTGGGACTTAATGTGTGTCAGGTGAGAAGTGTCTCATCCCCAAACGATAAGGTCTGGGCCTAGTACAGTGTTTCTAATACATGAATTCTGCCTGCCTACTCCTTAAAACAATAAATCCACATCATATTTTAAAGTTGTGTATTTCTTATGGACACGTATTCATAAACATGCTGCATTGTTTACGGTCATAGTTAAAGGGACACTATAGTCACCAAAACAACTTTTGCTTAATGAAGCAGTTTGGGTGTATAGATCATGCCCCTGCAGTCTCACTGCTCAAACCTCTGCTATTTATGAGTTAAATTACTTTTGTTTCTGTTAATGCAGCCCTAGCCATACCTCCCTGGCTGTGACTGACACAGCCAGCATGAAAAACAAATGGTTTCACTTTCAATTAGATGTAACTTATTTGAAATGGTTTTATGCCCTGTTCTCTAAATTAAACTTATTTCACATAAAGGAAGCTCCTGCGGGGTCTAGCAAGCTATTAACAGAGCAGTAGATAAGAAATTCTAAATGTAACAGAATATGGAATAAAGGTAGTGTAAACATTATATGACTCTTTACAGGAAGTGTTTAGGAAGACTGTGTAAGTCACATGCAGGGAGGTGTGACTGGGGCTGCATAAACAAAGTGATTTAGCTCCTAAATGGCAGAGAATTGAGCAGTGAGACTGCAGCGGCATGATATATAAACCAAAACTGTTTCATTAAGCTAAAGATGTTTTGGTGAATATAGTGTCTCTTTAAAGAGAAAACGTATGAAAATGTCACAGTTCACAACATTGGAGCAAAATGAAGATCTTGAGCTATGTAAAAAATAACTAGTGCATAAAACAGGGCCTCCAAAATTGCTAAAATCAACAATAAAAAACAGCGATGGCTTACTGAAGAATACAATTGCATTCAAAGTTCTAGAAAGTTTGAAAACATGCTAACTTTCTAAGACTATGTTATTTTTACTTCAACAGCTCCACAGCGTCATTGCTTATGCCATGCACAGAAAAGTTCAATCGGAGACCTGATTGTGGGAAGTGAGAGTTTTCATATTCCCGTTATAAAGCATAGTAAGAGGTCTTTGCACAGAATTCTTTTTAGCACAGAAGGAAAAAGCTCGTATTTAGCACCAGAAGACAAATCTTTTTTATATACTGCCTGCAATGTATCACACGTTGTCATTAACATTAACAAGGATCCACTACAAGTCCCGTGATACTCTCCATAAAGAAAATCAGTAAAATACAAAAAAAAATTGTTTTTGAACATGTGAAATTAGCTCTGTTTCTTGCATGTCTATTGATATTGTTACTGTACATGCATCAACAATTAGCACTTCCAGAACACTTTCCAGAAATCACCAGACTAGAAAAAATCAATTCTGCACCAAGCACGAACCTGACACTTCTCACCAGCCAGTCACAAACCTCCCACCACACCAACCAGTCACAAAACCTCCACCACACCAACTAATGACAAACCTTCCACTACACCAGCCAGACACAAACCTTCCACTACACCAACCAGTCACAAACCTTCCACTACACCAGCCAGTCACAAACCTTCCACTACGCCAACCAGTCACAAACCTTCCACTACGCCAGCCAGTCACAAACCATCCACCAAAGCAACCAATGACAAACCTTCCACTACGCCAGCCAGTCACAAACCATCCACCAAAGCAACCAATGACAAACCTTCCACTACGCCAGCCAGTCACAAACCATCCACCAAAGCAACCAATGACAAACCTTCCACTACGCCAACCAGTCACAAACCTTCCACCACACCAACCCATGACAAACCTTCCACTACACCAGCCAGTCACAAATCTTCCACTACGCCAACCAGTCACAAACCTATCAACACACCAACCAGTCACAAACCTATCAACACACCAACCAGTCACAAACTTATCAACACACCAACCAGTCACAAACCTTCCACCACACCAAACAGTCACAAACCTTCCATCACACCAACCAGTCACAAACCTTCCACAACACCAACCAATGACAAACCTTGCACTACACCAGCCAGTCACAAACCTATCAACACACCAACCAGTCACAAACTTATCAACACACCAACCAGTCACAAGCTTTCCACCACACCAGTCACAAACCTTCCATCACACCAACCAATCACAAACCTTCCATCACACCAACCAGTCACAAACCTCCCACCACAGCAACCAGTCACAAACCTTCCACCACACCAACCAGTCACAAACCTTCCACCACACCAACTAATGACAAACCTTCCACTACACCAGCCAGACACACACCTTCCATTATGCCATCCAGTCACAAACCCTCCACCACCGCAACCAGTCACACACCTTCCACCACACCAACCAATGACAAACCTTCCACTACGCCAACCAGTCACAAACCTATCAACACACCAACCAGTCACAAACCTATCAACACACCAACCAGTCACAAACCTTCCACCACACCAAACAGTCACAAATCTTCCTCCACACCAAACAGTCACAAACCTCCCACACCACCAACCAATCACAGACCTCCCACCACACACCAGCCAGTCACAAACCTTCCACTACACCAACCAGTGACAACTGACAAACCTTCTACAACACCAAACAGTCACGAACCTTCCACACCACCAACTAATCACAAACCTCCCACCACACACCAGCCAGTCACAAATTTACCACCACACCAACCAGTCACAAACCTCCTACTACAATAATCAGTCACAAACCTCCCACACCACCAACCAATCACAAACCTCTCAACACATGCCATCCAGTCACAAACCTTCCAGAACACCAACCAGTCACAAACCTTCCACCACACCAACCAGTGACAAACCTTTCACTACACCAAATAGTCACAAACCTCCCACACCACCAACCAATCACAGACCTCCCACCACACACCAGCCAGTCACAAACCTTCCACTACACCAACCAGTCACAAACCTCCCACCACACCAACCAGTGACAAACCTTCCACCACACCAAACGTCCATACCACCAACCAATCACAAACCTTCCACCACACACCAGCCAGTCACAAACCTTCGAAAACACAAACCAGTCACAAACCTACCACCACACCAACCAGTCACAAACCTCCCACTACACTAACCAGTCACAAACCTCCCATACCACCAACCAATCACAAACCTACCACCACACACCAACCAGTCACAAACCTTCCACCACATCAACCAGACACAAACCTTCCACCACACCAACAAGTGACAAACCTTTTACTACACCAGCCAGACTCAAACCTTTCTCTACGCCAACCAGTCACAAACCTATTAACACACCAACCAGTGATAAACCTTCCACCACACCATCCAGTCACAAACCTTCCACTACACCAACCAGTCACAAACCAATCACCACACCAACAAGTCACAAACCTTCCACCACAGAAGCCTTCACAGACCTACCACCTCACCAACCAGTCACAAACCTCCCACCACACACCAGCCAGTCACAAACCATCCACAACACAAACCAATCACAAACTTTCTACCACACCAGCCGGTCACAAACCTTCCACTATACCAGCCAATCCACTATACCAGCCAATCACAAACCTACCACCACACCAGCCAATCACAAACCTATCACCACACCAGCCAGTCACACACACACACACACACACACTGGGATCTATATAATTAATATACCAAGTTGTGAATAGTATCAAAGCTTTTAGCAAAATATTCATATATTTTTATATAGGGCAAAATATTCAACAAGTTAACCTGCTCTTGTAAAATTTCTACCACTAAACCAGGGCTTCACCATACAGCTGGCCAATGTGAATACTGCCTGTGCTTATTTGCATATTTATCATGACATTTTGGTAATTTTGAGGAAGCATATTTTTTTTCAAAGTTTCAGCTACATTTATCACCAAGAATTTGTACTATTTTTAATTTTCTAAAGTTGGGATCATTTTGAGTATTGTTTTATTATGGTGCAAAAATTGGCTATAAAATAATTGTGGTCCAATAATGATCTCAGATGATCACTTCTAGGCCTTGTCTTTGTTGTAATTACAACTCCCTGTGCAAAAACCATAGAACTGGCAATATACTGCTGTCAGGTTATCAAGCTGGTGAGGTAGCTCAGCTGGTAAATTCCCTGATTACAAAGCCTGTTCAAAAATGCAAAGTAACAGGTTCAAATCCTGGCAGAGTCAACTTCATCCTTCCGAGGTTGATAAAATGAGTACCATCAGTTGGGTAATAACAACAGCTTGTGCTGAAATGTGAGTCCCACTGGGAGAAAGGAGCTATATAAATACTAGTTATTATTATCTTATCTCTGTGTTTATACAGGTGTCAAATAGGAAATGGAAAGAGGAAAAGTTAGGTCAATGAGTAGATATGGTACCCAGACCTTTTCATCTCAATGAATTGATCTTGGTACAGTGTTCCTAAAACATTGCAGGTTTTTTAGAATACATTGCAGGGTTAACTCCTCCTCTGACATGCACTACAGGCGCTTCTGTGGCACAGACCAAGTAAAATTCAGTCAAGTGACATGGAAGCCCTGTAGTAACGCATTGACTCAATGCGCACGAAGAGCTGAATGCGTATGTTAATGTGCATTAGGCCTCCAATGATACTCTAAGAGGAGCATTGGATTGGATGCTCATGGAGGAGGCAGGCCCTATCTCTGGAACTTCGGTACGGGAGGTCAGCAGTACTGGGGGAGCTGGAAACAGATTAAACTTAATTTTTGTACTAGGATGGGACATAATGCTATTAGGGAGAGGGACGCCATAGCGTTAGCAATACAGATTTGTATTCCTAACACTATAGTGTTTCTTAACGTACCTAAGTTCATTAGTTAAATGAAGACCTCTATTGATGTGATATGCTTGTTTTAAAAGCCGTGTTTTTTGGCTTATCTGAGAGATTTATGGTTTACTGGTTCTTTACCATAGCATTATGGTGGCAGACCAATTAGATCTGAGCCTTTAAAAAATAAGACTTTATGTAGAATGCACTAAGTATAGGATTGCTGTTAAAACCATTGTAATGTTTTATAAAGAGGCAAATCGGAAGACGACTATATGTTCATTTTGTCCATGAACTCAGCTAACATTTATGTAAATCCCACATGCTGAATTATTTCCTGGAGGTGATAATATTATTACTGAGATTCCCATCCTTTTCTCGGCTTCTTATTGAATTAGAACTTGCAAAGAATTTTACTTAAGTTATGGCTTTAGAGACTCGATAGTTTTAAATCTATGTTTATTGCTGCAATAACATATTTTTTTTCTGGTCCTGCATTGTGGAGATGGCACCTCTGTGTTTGCAGAAGGAATACAAATCCACCCACTGTTTTAGCACTTTCTCGTATGCCTTATTGCTTAAGTTAATATTGTTCTCTGACACATTGCTGCAAAGCGCAAAGCCTGCATCTATCCAAAAATACAAGCTAAGGGTAGATGGCAGATCCCTCGTTCCATGGTATAGGGGGACAGATTTTGAACAAAGTTAAAAAAAAAACCTCTGAAAGCTCATTTTCACTGATGCTGCTGGTAAGGATCTAGGAGGAAAATTGAAAAGCAGTTTATGGTTTTATTAAAAGAAGAGAATCTATGAATTGCAATATGTGCAGACGTTAAATACAGCATTGTCAGTTCCTGCTCAATGCTACATAAGTTATGGAGCTTTCTCAAATGAAAACAGGTACATTTATCAGTGAGCTTGAAATATATCTGTGTTTAAGCTGGGATAGCATTCAAAACTGCACCATTGTAGGTACTGAAACCCATCACAAAATACAGAATGTGAGCCCAATATAATTAGGAAAACAGCCATTGGCTGCCCACTTCCTTAAACTAAACTTGACCAAAACTGAAATTCTGGTCTTTCCTCCCTCAAGTGTTGTTACTCCTGTGTCTGACTCCCTCCAAGTCAACGGTGCTACCATCAGCTCCACCACGCAGGCTCACTGCCTAGGTGTTTTCTTTGACTCTGACCTCTTCTTCAAGCCTCATGTTCAATCTATCGCCAAATCCTGTCATTTCCATCTCAAAAACATTGCGCGCATCCGCCCCTACTTAATGCCAGATGCGACTAAGGTGTTGGTCCATTCCACTCTCCTTTCTCGCCTTGACTACTGTAATCAGCTTCTCAGTGGTCTTGCGTGCTCCCAACTTGCGCCATTACATTCCATAATGAATGCGGCAGCGAGGCTCATCTTCCTGTCCGCCCGCACCTCCCATGCCTCATCCTTCTGTCAGTCCCTACATTGGCTTCCTATAAAATATAGAGCTCAATTTAAAATTCTGGTTCTTGCTTTCAAATCTCTACATAATGCTGCTCCCACTTATCTATCCTCCCTTATACACAAGTATGTCCCATCTAGGCCCTTACGATCTGCTGAAGACTTACGTCTATCTTCTGTCCGTACTCCCACCTCTGATGCTCGCCTTGAAGATTTCTCGAGGGCTGCACCGTTCCTGTGAAACTCGCTTCCCTCCTCCGTTAGATGCTCACCCACTCCTTCAAAAAATCATTAAAAACCCACTTCTTCATAAAAGCGTATCAATTAAACTGTTAATAGCTCCTGACTGATTCCTCTTCTGCAACTGTCACTAGTCTAACACTATCCTTACCTTTTTGTGTCATTTTACCCCACTCCCTCAAGCATGTAAGCTCATTGAGCAGGGCCCTCAACCCCTCCTGTGTGTCCATCTTGTCTGGTTTCAACTACATGTCTGTTCGTCTACCCATTGTAAAGCGCTGCGGAATTTGATGGCGCTATATAAATAACATAATAATAATAATAATAATAATTGCTCCCTGTTAGCACTTTTCTGTGAGTGGTTTAACAATGAAACAACTCACGGGGTTATTAACTAAACACCATTTGGATTACAAAATCCAGACATTGTTCAAGCATTTTAACTTGTAATTAAGGTTTGGAACGAGCCTGGACGTGGTCTAGGATTTCATAGGGCTACAACTGCTGAAATCCAGACCGAATGCTGCAAATCCTGACACATGGGCTTCAAACCTGGGCCCACATTTTATAGAGCTCCCTCCCGCCACCCATGGATGGAGGTTGGGGAGGGACACTAGGCCCTCCCTCTTTAATATTAATTCTAACAATAGGTCCTCCCCCTAATTATTATTATTAAGGCCCTCACATGCAGCTAATGGGTAGGGGCTAGGAGGGGGCACTAGGTTCTCCCCCTGGAATACAGCCTCCGCCTGCTGACCATGGGTGGGGGTGGCAGGGACAAAGGGATGTTCCCCACTTTATTTTATGACATATTCCCACCCAACATCCACCACATAATTAACAATCCTGCTGCTGTTTTTTTTTTAACTATTTGCCCACTAGCTGCTAGTGTTGCCAGTGTGCAAATAGTACTGAAAATTATCAATCTGGTCCCGAATTTTTTTAAAACCAGTCCTTTGTGAATCTTTCAAATCCTATACTTTGTATAGGATTCCGACGTGAAAGCACCAATTTTAATCCTGACACCAAATGCCATAGAGATACCGTTCTTCATTTATTTCTATAGAGTTTGACAATGCTTAGAGGGAACACTGCAGGTTTCTCACTGAAATCAAAAGCTTCCAACTATTCTAATTAACCTGTGTTGGTGGAACCTCTAGAAGAGACATCACTAGCACATCATAATGTATGGAAATGTAAAGATATTTGTGACAGAAGATGTTTGCAATACATTCATAGTACAATTTTAGGACATCTTTTGCATTCAGTAGGTATCACAAGGTAAATGGCTCCCCTTGTGCTACAACGGGGTCACAACCTTTGTGGACAAAATATTATTCTATCTCAGTAATATCAGGAAAAGGCAATGACAGCAAATACAATCCAACATTAGCTTAGTGTGACAGGGTTGGTCTCAGCAGAATGCCCTAAACTGCCACCTAGTGTAATGGCATGGAGGTGGACGCCAAATGGCAGCAAAGCTCTAGTTGAACACCACAAGAATAAGTGTAGACAACTCAAGAAGCGTGCACACACAGCTATCACCAGAGACGATTACAGGTGAAGCATGACACTAAGAGGACATGAATGCTAATTAGAATGCTGGGAGAAAGGATCAGGGCTTTAAAGACAGAGTGAGTTCCAGAACACAAGGCAGCTAAAACGGGTGAGTAGGAATTGGAATTCAATGCTGGAAACACTAGAACACTTTGCACTGAAGCCGGACAACAAGAATAAACAGGAAGCCATGAGGCTATATAGTCAATTTCATAGCTTAAAGGGTTACTCCAAGCACCATCACCACGTTACTGGTTTGAAGTGGTTATGGTGCTTGGAGTTGAGTCTGTTTGTGCAGTGTTTTGCTTTGAAACTGAGCACATACAGAGCTTAACTCCACCTTCAACCACATAATTGCAGCATCATTAGCCAGCCATACCCTGCCTTGGGGGAGGGTGGGAAGGGGGTGGTATAGGAAGGGTTATTCTGGCCAAAAACAGTGCATTCTTAAAACACAGATTTTTTTTTTGTATAGATGTAAATCTTTAAAATGAACAAATATACACATATAAACACTGAGGGGCTATCAACAGTTAGTAAATCTAGCATGTTTGTTAATGTTTTAAGGTTTTGGAACTCTCTGAACACTTTATTGCAGGTGTAACACTTGACACGCTTCCAAAAATGTCCTTAATATTCTTTATTTTAATGCAT